TGGGTTTCCTTCGGGTGCTCCAGTTTCCTCCCATAGTTCAAAGATATGCAGGTTAGGTGGATTTGCCATGCTAAATTGCCCATATAGTGTCCAGGGATGTGCAAGCTAGGTGTATTAGCCATGGGTAATGCAGGGTTATAGGGATAGGGTTGATCTGGGTTGGATGCTCTTCAGTTGGTCGGTGTAAACTCAATGGGCTGAATGATCTGCTTCCACACTGCAGGAATTCAATGAAGATCCTGAGAGGTTGGCAAATATTAGTTGCCAATGTCTGTGGATAAGGGATGCATGCAGCTGGAGACCATGGTCCATGCCCTGAGATGTTGTTGTGTGATGAGTAACAGGGAGGATGTTTGCAGCCAGCAGTGAGTTGAAGTCATTGGGTCAGCTGACTTTGTGTTGCGAATTCTCCGTGTCTAGTTTACGCATGGTGGGTAATAGGATTAAAGCTGCATTTTAAGAAGATGAGATGTGCAGTTAATAAGGTCACCAAAATCCTAGAACTCCCTCCCTTCACCAGTCAGTGATATCCATGTCCGAGTGAATGAGAAAAACACGCAATAAAATTTCTTGAATAGGCAACCAACTGACTGTTACACCTTTTTGGGATAGCGTGATGGAAATCAAGCCCCACTATTCCCAGAGGCATTACAAAAAATTTAGTCACCTTTTAGACCCAGGTTGACAGAAAGAATGGACCAGCTTTCTGTGCTCAATAAGAATTTATGACAAATAAATAGATTCTAGAACAATTACGAACCATTGACATACAACTTGAATTAACTCCATATAATACACCCCCTACACACACTTACAGAAATTAACAAATAAAAAAAAGTGTTACAGGTGGAGGGAAAGACTGGAAAGACAGTTTGAAAGTTTTTATCCACATGGTTCGTTGAGATGATCCTGATGTTCCTCTATCTTCTGCCTCCAAATTCTTTTAGTTGTTTGCAGGAGGGATAGGGCAGTTGGTTCACAACTTATAAATTCTGTGACTTACTGGCTGAAAGCCACAGTTTACAATAACTGATAAAAGGGGAAACAGGGGTCTTGGGAGCTACCTAGGAGCCAACAAATAGTGTTTGGCAGGCAGAAAGCCTTTGTCATCAACAGCGAGTCATCACTCCACAGAACGATCAGCGACTTAGTCATCGGAGACAGACAGTAGCAGTGGAAGGATGCGTTTCAGAATGGAGGGTGTGACTAGTGCTGTTCCACAGGGATCAGTGTTGGGACTTCTGCTGTTCGTGATCTACATAAATAGTTCGGAGGAAAATATAGCTGGTCTAATTAATAAGTTTGCGGATGATACAAAGATTGGTGAAGTTGCAGATAGTGAGGAGAATTGTCAGGGAATACAGCAGGATATAGATCAGTTGGAAGCATGGGCAGAAAAATGGCAGATGTGAGGTGATGCATTTTGGAAGGTCAAGTTCAGGTGGAAATTATACAATTAATGGCTGAACCCTTAGGAGTATTGATATACAGAGAGATCTGGTATGCAGGATTATAGATCACTGAAGATGACAGCACAGGTGGGTAAGGTAGTAAAAAAGGCCTATGGCATGCTCACCTTCATTGGAAGGGGCATTGAGTACAAGGATAGACAAGTCATGCTGCAGCTTTATAAAACTTTAGTTAGACCACGCTTGCAATATCCCGTACAGTTCTGGTCACCACACTACCAGAAGGATGTGGATGCTTTGGAGAGGGTACAGAAAATGTTTACCAGGATATTGCCTGGTATGGGGGATTTTAGCTATGAAGAAAGGTTGGATAGACTGGGTTTGTTTTCACTGGAACGTAGGAAGTTGGGGGAGGGTGAGCTGATAGAAGTTTATAAGATTATGAATGGCATGAATAGAGTGGAAAGCATGAGGATTTTTCGCAGGGTAGAGGAGTCAGTTACTAAGGGTCACAGGTTCAACATGCAAGGGGGAAAATTTAAAAGAGATGTGCGAGGCAGGTTTTTCACACAAAGGGTGGTGAGTGCCTGGAACACGTTGCCAGAGATGGTGGTGGAAGCAAACACAACAGCAGCAGTCAAGGAGCACCTGGACGAATACATGAATAGGAAGGGAATAGAGGGATATGGATTCTGTAATTTAAAACCGTTTTAGGGTAGAAGGATGAAATGTGTCAGCACCCACTGGCCCCCACTGCTTAAACTAAAAGCAGTGTAAATAACACTTACAATAATTGTTCGGTAACTTCCTTTCAAAAAATGCATAATCTATTCCACAAACCTTGTTTTTTTAAAATAGACCTTTTCTCTTTTCAGTCCACAATGAAAAAATACAGAAAAACTGTCTTTAATACCCCTCAGTAGCAGGAATCTCACCACAACACCCAGAAAGATTGCTCCTGACATTGAGATAGGTCGTATCATTCCTCTCATGATTCGGCCAACATTTCTCCCCTATTACCCACTCATTCAAGTTCCCGATAAGATTCCATCCTAAGTCTAAGGCCATAAGACATAGGACCATAAGTAGGCTATTCAGACATTGGGTCTGCTCTGCCATTCAATGAGATCGTGGCTGATCTGATAATCCTCAAATCCGCTTTCCTGCCTCTTCCCATAACCATTGACAACTTGACTGATTAAAAGTCTATCCATTTCAGCCTGGAATATATTTAATAGCCCTGTCTCGACAGCCCTCTTTTTTGCTGTTAATTCATGGGATGAGGACAACATTTATTCTCCATCCCCAGTTGCCCAGAGGGCAGTTAAGAGTCAACACATATGGATCAAAAGTCACATGTAGGTCAGGTCAGGTAAGGGCAAAAGTTTACTTCCCTAAGGGACATTAATGAACGAGATGGGATTTTCCCGATAATAGACAATGAATGCATGGTCATCACTAGACTCAATTCCAGATTTTTCACCATCTGCTAGGATGTGATTTGAACACAGGTCACCAGAACATTATCTGGGCCTCTGCATTAACAGTCCATTTTTAAGCCCCATCTCTCCGTTAAATATACAAATTCTTATTCAAAGGACCCTCTGGTCCTAGGAGATGACCTGTCTTCATCAATCCTGTTACATTACCAAAGGATCTTGTGTATGTCAATAAGGTTCCCTCTCATTGTTCTAAATTCCAATGAGTACCAGCCCAAACTACTCAACCTCTCCGTACAAGGCAGTTCCCCTATACACATTTAAGCCTAGTGAACATTCACTGGACCGCCTCCAATGGCAGTATACCTTTCTTTAGATAAAGAGCCCAAAACTGTTCATAGTATTTCAATAGCAGGTGTGTATATTATCTAGAAGGCAAGATGCACTGCAGAAATTCACCAAACATGCCTCAAGGACACCTTCCAAACCCATGATGAGTTCTAACTAAGACGACAAGGGCAACAGATACATGGGAACACCACCACCTGCCAGCCACTTATCATTGTGACTTGGAAATATATTGCCATTCCATCAATGTCACTGGGTCAAAAGCCTGGAATTCTCTCCCTAATGGCACTGTGGGTCAATCTACAGCAAGCGGACTGCAGAGGTACAAAAAAGCAGCTCACCACCACCTTCTCAAGGGCAACTAGGGACGGGCAATAAATACTGGCCAGTCAGTGACGTCCATATCCCATGAGTGAATAAAAAGTGCATTAGAGTATTTGAACACTAACTTTTACATATGTTCTGTATTTTTGATCGTGCACTTTGGGGAAGTTACTTTCTGAATGAGCAAATCTGAAGTAGTTAAACATATGCAACTCCAAAGACCATTAACAAATTGGAATTCACCACATTCTTCAATAGGTTGCTTAATTTGTTGCTAAAACAAAGCAGCTCTTTTCAGAAATAAAGGCAGCCCTTTTTGCCTTCAACTTCTTGTCACAACAGAGATGAAGCTGAATAAATCCAATATTTCCTTTATCAGTTCTTCACATGATGTCCATTAACTGATAACTGCCATGAACAACATGCACATTTTTATAGTGATTTTTTTTATAGAAAGGATCTAAATGCACGGATCAGATGAATGCATTACATCCATGTTAACTGGTTCAATGAGAAGTCCATGATCCAATTACACAAGTAATGTGTCCATTTCAATTAGTAATTATTTCTGATTGAGCACAGGTCTGTAATAAACTAGCACCTTGGGTACTAGATCTGGACTTTACATCAGTTAGTCACTAATTTATTATGAAGGAAGTTAGGGTCAAATTAATGTCAAGTAATTTATCAATGTAGCAACGGTATAGAAGCATTTTCTCTCTTGTTTTAATAAGGAAGGAATTACATATGAATGCCCTAATTATCAGAAAATATCTTGAATCTTCAGCCATTATCTAGATTAAAAAGCAGCATATTTCAGAAAATGAAGGAAAATAGAGAACAGAGTCCCCTCACAGCAAGCTCTTCATCTCAGAGAAATACCAATTGTGAAAAGCTGCAAAAGGGTAGCTTTTACAGGAACGAGGAAACAAGAGACGCACTCAATTTAGGTGCAAATCTTCTCCTGTGTACTGTTTAATAACCATTTATACAGTGAATCTGATGTAAGATATAAGACCCAGGACCAAGTTATGAGAGAAGCTTGAGGAAAATCAAATGTATTCGCATATGATAAGTAAATAAATATTCAGGAAGTTTTCGGCATGGACATTTGAAAGCTTTTTGAAATAGTGGAAACAGAATGCAATACAAACAAAAGCCCTGAAACAAATGACTACAACATTTCTCATTCAGCTTAAATGAACACATGCAGAGAGGCAACATCTGAAGCAAAACATGACATAAACCTACAAACACTAAAGGTCCAGTGAATAGAACAGTTTACAAGTACAGTTAAATTACTGAACTTGATGCCTATTTTCCTATGATGAAAGTCATGACTTAACTGAACTCCATTCATTTTCATTGCCTCATTTCACAACAATCTAATTGCAAATAAAGAATGAAGTAAATGTGCACATAAAATCACATCTCACAAAACAAAGAAAAACTATATGGAATTATAAAACATATTAAAAACCTGTTGTTGGGACTCTAACTTGGCATACTCCACCAGCATTGGCTTTTTGTGGCTGTTGTAATGGTCACGTTGTGTCTGATCAGCTATTCTTGGCTCATTGGGAAGAAAACTACTGGCCCACACCTGAAAGATACAAAAACAATTCCGGTGAAAATGGCCAAATGTAACAAAATTGTAAATGTGAGCTTGTGAAGATGTCTGAAGATCAAATATAACTGACTAATGACCAATAATATTTGATCCTTCACGGAAGTACACAACTGTTGTGTAAACCTGTTTCCTGTACCAAGTCAGGAATTAAGCATTCAGAAGAGAAATAAGAGCTGACTGATGATCAATGTGTCATAAAACAGTGCCATACAAGCATCAGAAGTCCAGCTATGGTCTTAAGTTCCCATTTTGTAATTTTACAATCAGATTTGCATGTAGGAGAGACCAGTAAGTCCCTGATATCTCTTCTGTAACATTAACTGCAAGCAACTGACACCAAATTGACCACTTAGCCATTTGTCTATGTAAAGATGTGCCCTTTGTATAAAACAAGTTAAAACAGCAGCAAGAGGGGTGAAATAATACATCTTAAGAAAGGTCAGAACATCTCTTTAAAGGAAATAATTTATTTCAAAACAAATCTTCCGTTAATTTTGTTGCTTCGCATTTTCTTTCAACATCCTGTTATATTTACTTCAATGAATTAACTTTGTGCTCCATAGCTTCTATCTGCAATAATTTAACACTAACCCCAAAAAAGTTACACGTGGATCTGTTAAATTAAACTAGGAACTTTGAAGTAAGTAATTTCCTACGTATGACGATATCCAGGTGCACTAGAGGTCTGTGCCAACATGAAGATATCCAGGTGCATCTCACACACACACACCCATACTCTGTAAAGATCTGCACTTAATTTCAGAAAACAAGAGTACAGGTTTCCATGCAGTCCTGTAACAGAGTTCTCTGAGATCTTTTGCAGCAGATCTATTTGAAATATCATTCGCTTTTTCACATGGAGAGAAATACAATAGGGAAGAATTGCAACTTTTGTGGTGGGCAGCTTGACTAACTTTCTTAGCAAGAGCATTAGAATGAAATATATTTCTATTTGTTAGTCCCTGCAGGATAATCTTTGCTCCTTTACTAATTTTAATGGTAGCCATGATGCGAAGGTACCAGTGTTGGACTGGGGTGGACAAAGTCAGAAGTCACACATTCACTTCACCTGATGAAGGAGCAGCACTCTGAAAGCTTGTGATTTCAAATAAACATGTTGGATTATAACCTAATGTCCTGTGACTTCTAATTTTAATGGAAGCTGGCAGTTCAGACTCGCCCTAGAGCCAAAATGGAGCCATCTAAACCCAGCTGGGTATTATTTGATGCATAGAGTGGGAGGTAACGGCCTAGCAGTATTATTAGAGGACTATTAATCCAGGAACTCAGCTCATGTTCTGGGGACCAGGTTCAAATCCTGCCATGGCAGATGGTGAAATTTGATTTCAATAAAATCTGGAATTAAGGGTACAATGATGACCATGAAACCATTGTCGATTGTTGGGAAAAACCCATCTGGTTCACTAATGTCCTTTAGGGAAGGAAACTGCCATCCTTACCTGGTCTGGCCTACATGTGACTCCAGACCCACAGCAATGTGGTTGACTCTTAACTTCCCTCTGGGCAATCAGGGATGGCAATAAATGTTGGCCAGTCAGCGATGCCCTCATCCCATGAACGAATAAAAAAAAGTAAATTCCCTGTTGATTGTGTTGGAGTGGTTTTAAAACTGCTGAAAAACATGAATATGCACCTTTTTACAAGTATGGTTAGGGTAGTGAACAGACCTCAGAACAGATAATTAAACCATGCCCAATGTCAGAGAAAAATATTTTGAAGGGGTCTGGCAGCTGTTAAACCTCAGTCCAAAACCTAAGGGCATTGGAGCTCATGGCCCCTGATGGGAAATAACGCACTAATCCAAATCAGTGATCCCATTGAAATTAAAGCAGGCACAGCAGAGTGCATGAAGCTTCTTTCAATTCCACGTCATTGGAGATCCAAGTAGAATTCAGAAGCCAAACGCAAATAAAGAAACGTTCCAGGCCTCTCTGATCACAGGATTAATTCTGGGAGATTAGAGAATTGCAACATGACATCACTGTTTCAGAAAGGGGCAAAGGATAACACAGGAAACTAGAGACCTGTCGGCTTGACATCAACAGTGGGAAAACTGATTGAAGCTGTAATATGCAATAAGGAAAATATACACAGAGAAAAACAAGTTAATAACCTTGACAGTCAACATGGCTTTGTCAAGGGGAGGTCAAAAACATAGAACATAGAACAGCACAGGCCCTTCGGCCCACGGTGTTGTGCCGACCTATTATCCTACTCTAAGATCAAACTACCCTGCATACCCTATACTATACTATCCTCCATGTGCCTATCCAAGAGTCGCTTAAATATCCCTAAAGTATCTGACTTCACTACCACTGCCGGCAGTGCATTCGACACACCCACCACTCTCTGTGTGAAGAACCTACCTCTGACATCTCCCCAATACCCTCCTCCAATCACCTTAAAATTATGCCCCCTCGTAATAGTCATTTCCGCCCTGGGAAAAAGGTCATATCTGACAAATTTGATTGAGTTCTTTGACGAGGTGGCACAGGCAGTAGAGGAGGGTAGTACTGTGGATGTTGTATACTTGGACTTTCAGAAAGCATTTGGTATGGTGCCACATGGCAGGTTGATTAGCAAATTAGAAATGTTTGAGATTGATGGGTCCTCAGCAGCATGGATTAGAAGTTGGCTAAAAGATAGAAACAGAGGGTAGGTATAGATAAGCATTTAGAATCATAGAATCTCTACACAGTGTGGAGTGAGGCCATTCCACCCATCGAGTCCACACCAATCCTCCGAAGAACTGCCCACCCAGACACCCACCACCCCCCATCCCTGTAACACTGCATTTCCCACAGCTAATTCACCTAGCCTGCACATCCCTGGACGCTACGGGCAATTTAGCATGGCCAATCCACTTAATCTACATATGTTTGGGCTGTGGGTGGAAATCCATGCAGACACGGGGAGAATATGCAAACTCCACACAGTCACCTGACGGCAGAATTTAATCAAAGTCCATGGCGCTGTGAGGCAGCTGCATTAACTACTGAGCCACTGTGCCACCCAAGCCTGGAGACAAGTTGAAAGTGCTGCTCCCCAGGGATTGGTGTTGAGACCTTTTTTCTGATTTTTATAAACATTTGAAGATGGATGTTGAGGTCAAAACCTCTACTTTTGCAAAAGATACTAGGCTAGGGACAGTATGGATGATGCTGAGCAACTTCAGAGAGACACTGACACGTTGGCCAAATGGGCAGATACCTGGCAGATGAATTTCAATGCAGAGAAATGTGAGGTAATGCATTTTGGTAGCAGAAACATGGAGAGTCAAAACAGGATCAACGGGACAACTTTGTGGGGAGGACCTCGGGGTTCAAGTACCTGATTCTCTGAAGGGGACCAGGCAAGTTAAGAAGGCTTATTGGATCCTTGGGTTTATAAATAGAGATGCAGAGTATAAAAGCAATGAATTGATGCTACACCTTTACAAATCATTGGTCAGATCACATTTGGAGTATTGTGTTCAATTCTGGGTGCCTTATTTAAGGAAGGATTTTAAAGCCCTGGAGAGAGTGCAAAGGAGAATTACTTGAAAGAAACTAGGAATGAGGGATTTCAAATAAAAGATGAGAAAAATTAGGCATTGTCTCTTTGGAGCAGAAAAGATTAAGTGGTGACCTTATTGAGGTGTTCAATATTATAAACAATTTTGACAGGGTCAAGGATTTTCAGTTTCCACTAGCTGGCATGTCAATAACTAGAGGTCACAATTTCAAGATTGTCAGCAAAAGAGCTAGGAGTGAGATGCAGAGAAATCTTTTACTCAGAGTTTTTAGGATTTGGAATGCACTGTCTAGGAGAGTGATGGAGGCGGATTCCATAGAAGGACTCAAAAGAGAGCTGTATGTATGTATGAAAGTGATGAATTTAAAGGGCTACAGAGATGGTGCTGGAGAGTGGGACTAACTGGGAAGCTGTTTTGGAAGTGGGACAGACTTGATGGGTCAAATGGCCCTATGATTCTAAGTTCCATAATGGCAGGTATTTGAGGCAGCAAAAACAAAACTATAACAAACGTTAATTACAGTCAAATGGACACAAGGTAACATTTTGAAGAGAAAGTACACTTCCAAATCTAAATTTACAGAAATTCAATAAGTAGTTCGCAAACAAATTCCTTCTTTGGGAATATTTAAAAATCATTTTTTTTTTGCAGAGAAGACCAAGAGCACACCAACTGGTTCTGTATCTTGTTTGAAAGTTCATTGTACACATTTTGTTCTTCTGTCTATTCTTCAGTTATTGTTCTCTCCCTATATACGCAAGTAGAAAACAACACAAAACCTAGTTCCAGATTTAATTTTTTTGAAAAGAATTGCATTGATTTACAACATCATAGTAGAATGGCCCATCAAGTATGAACCCATTTATCTCTTCTAGAAACTCATTGATTAGCTGCTTATTTCCGCTTACCTTTGTTCTCACTTAAAACATTTATTGAATTTTCTCAAATATTTATAAGTAACTGCTTTACTCATTTTACTGCAGTTCCTGCTAGTCATCAGTCTTTGCTTCTTCATATTGCTTTATAATTCTTCTGTTCAATTTCCTCAGCATTTTACCTTATTTTTAAAAACCAAAATACTGCTGATGCTGGAAATCTAAAAATAAGAAAATGCTGGAGAAACTCAGCAGGTCTAGCAGCATCTGTGGAGAGAGAAACAGAATTAACATTCCGAGTCCAATTTGACTTTTTCAGTTCTGCAATCTCTCCAAAACTATATTGCTAATATCCTCTTCTCATTTGCCTTTTATCCCCAAACTACACTGGCTCCCAGTTTAATATCCCCATTGCCTCATTCCTCTCAATCTTCGTAACCACCTCTAGCCCAACACTAAATACCCGAAACCTTTGATGTGAGTTTCTTGTGCATCTCCTCCCTCTCTTTAGTAAATATATAGCCTATAGGCTCCATGCTCTAGAAATCCCAGTCTAAAACCAA